CTTATTTTTATAAATTATAGAATAGATATTTTTCTAAATAGTATACAAAAATTTGTTACTTTTGCTGCATTCCTAAACATTTCAATCCTAGTAGTTAACATTTTGTAACAATCGGGTTGTAGAGACTTGTTATTGTCTTCTAATACATTTTGTAAACACTTGATATCTAATAATAATAAAATTTTGATTTATATTTCCAATATAACATAGAAAACTTTTTTTTTTGTTTAATTTGTAATTTGTAATTTGTAAATCAATTATATAAATATATCATATATTTGTTTACGTACGTCTGCCTGCGCCTTGAGGAACATCACTACAATATTTATTGATATCAACAGCACATGCTTTTTGTAATAATGGATCTACATTGATATCTGCTCTTCTTTGCTCTATTAAATCAGCAATTTCAAGTCGACATTCTTCTTTCATATCTCTATTACCAGCATTAAATTCCATTTTTAAACATTCTTCTACTGCTCCAGAATCATTTTCATCTGCTCTACAAATTGTTTCTATCTGTTCCAAATAATTATATATTGCATAAATAATTATTACATTAATAAAAATATATTTATTTTTTTTGTGTAATTAATTTAAAAATAATACCTCATGTGCACACATTGTAGCTAATAATGGATTTAAATGATAATTTAAGGCTGCCTCTCTAAGTATATTAGTCATTTGATGTTCACATTTTGTTAAAAGTTTAGATTCTCTAAATTTAATTTTTAAACATCTTATAACTTTTCCTTCAAGTTCTTTATCTGTAGGTTCATTTAATAATACCTAATGACAAAATATTATTTGTTTAATGAAATAGTAAAAAACAAAAAAATATTATCAGTAACATATTTTTACCTCTTTACAATGTTTATTGATATCATAAGAACATGCTATTTGTAATGCAGTATTAAACCTATAATCTGTATTTTGTTCAATCATTCTTCGAACAACAATATTTTTGCATTTATCATCAAATGTTGGTTCATCTTTATATTTTTTTAAACAATCTAATGCTTGTGAACGGCTGATATCATGACAGAATTGTCTGACCATTATTCGACAATTATTTAATAAAGCAAAATCACTTGAACTATCTTGAAATTCTTGTTTTCTTACTTTGAACAATTGTTTATGACATGCATCAGATAATTTTGATTTATGTGCTGCTAAACATTCAAGAATCTATAAAAATAATGTTTATATTAATATTGAAATAATAGAAAATTAAATAATTTAAATAAGATAAATATACATATCAACCTGTGAATTTCCTGGTTCAAGATTATAACAATATTGTTTAATATCATTTATACATTGTGCTTGTAAAATAGGATCAAATTGAATATTTTCTCTTTGTTGATAAAGCTGTGCTTTTAATTGTTGTCTACATTCTCTTGGTATATGATGCTGTGTATCTTTCATTATATCTTCCTGTACTCTTGTACTTAAGCATTCTATTACATCTGCTTTAGTTTTAGATCTAAATATTAAATATAAAAATAGATATTTTTATCGATTAAAATTTATATAAAATATTTAAAAAATTGTATTAAAAATTTACTTTGGACACCATCTCTTAACAGAAGGTCTACAAGCTTCTTTAAATTTATATGTAAAGTGATAATTTTTTAATGATATTAATTGAAAATGTTCCACTGCTGCTTTACATTTATAATCGGATCGCATATTTAAATCATTTTTATGTTCTATTAAACATTCCATCATGTCACCCTCATCTTTACCATATTTTAATATTTCCTATTTTTATAAGTTTCTTATATAAATTATAATTAAGTAAAAAAAAATATATTTATTAATATTTAATTTAAATTTTTTAAAAAATTATATTGCACCTCACAATAACGTTCCATGATATCTTGACATACAGCAGAAATTATTGGATTCAATTCAACATGTTCTGCTTGCTCTTCTGTAAAATTACCAACTGCTAATTTACAATTCCTATTTAAACTGTAAATAAAATAAATAAATTAAAAATATAAATAGTGTAAAAATTCAGATTTTTATGTAATTGAATTTATTATTACCGATCTAAGTTATCTTGGAGGCATAATATTTCTTCTCCTTTTGCCGTTTTATCATAGCAAAATGATGCTAATTCATTCAAACATACTTCTTCAATTTCAGGTTGTAAATCAACATTTATTGCTCTTTGTCTCATAACACGTCTAATTTCTTCAATACATTCTGTTTTTAACTGAAATCAATTCAATAATAAATTCAAAAATAAATTTTAAATAAATTTATTTACAATGAATATTTATCAAATTATATAAATTCTTACTGTCATATTTTTTTGAGGATGATATACATGTCTATATAAACATGGTAAAACAAGAGGTCCTCGTTCTGGATCCATTTGTTTTCCATCATTGGCCCATGCATTTCTTGCATGACATAAATGTATTGCATCAAATTTACATGCTCTATACAATTGAGGATCTAATTCAAAATCTCTAGCTACAAAATATTGTATTTGAATTAAAGCAGTTTCACAAGGTTTTGTCATTATTTTTGTACCAAGTTGTTCCATTAAACATGATATTACTCTAGCATCACCTCCATGTATCTATATTTAAAATAAATTACAATATTACTTATTTATTTAATTAAATATTATTTAGATTTCTTAAATTTTTTCTTGATTAAATATTTCTTACATCTCTACAAGCACGAATAACAACAAATTTACATTGTTCTCTTAAAATAGGATCAATTCTCCAATCTTCTCCAGCATCAGTTTCCGTTATTAATTCTTCTATCTATTATGATGACGAAAGATATTTAATTAATATTTATAATTATATAATTTTTTATATATAAAAATATATAATATAAATATTTAATTACCGCTCTTTGACATTTACTAGATATTCTTAATTTTTTTTTTCTCATTCTAGTATGTTCCATTAAACAATGAATTGTTGCACCACCAATTTTCAAATTATTACAGAATGTTGTAATATCATTAGCACATCCATCAACTATTTCAGGAGATAATCTATAATCTTCCATTAAAAGTTTTCTATGATCAAACATTTCAGCTTGACAATCCTCATCAATTTTGCTTCCATTTTTTGCTGCTGATTCCAAACAAAGAAGAATTTGTGCAAGTCTTATATTTTTATCTTCAAATGCAGATCTTCTACAATGATTAATTTTAATATCATCTTTACAAGCTTTAACCAGTCCTTTACTAACTTTATAATCAGATGCAATTAATTTTCCTCTTCTTGTAAGTTGTTCTTGACATACTGCTGTCATAGATCTATTTGTTTTGTGTTGCATTAAACATTTGTATACTTGACCACTTCCAGGTCTAATATTTTGACAAAATTCACTAAGATCATTTTTACAAGCCAAATATAATTGATGATCTAATTTGATATTTTCTGCTTGTATTTCAGATACATGAAGAATATGTCTTTTACATTGAAGTTGAAGTTCATTAATATGTTCTTGTAAACAAGCTAATATTTGTCCTTGAGATATATCTCTGTATGGTTGTAGTTTGTCACATTTAAATTTCTTAATATCATTTTCACAATCTGAAGAAAATGGTCCTATTATAATTCTAAAATCATTAACTGCAATCCATTCTAATCTTTGAATATATGCAATGCACTTAGGATTTTTGACTTTTTCTTTTTGATCAATTAAACATGAAAGATATGCTCCATGTTTTTTGCCAAAACCAGAACAATCTAATGAATCTAATTCTCTACCACAAGTTCTTTTAGATAAACGTTCTATATTTGAATTATCTGTAATGTTTAAGATATAATCCCAAATTGCTTGACGACATTCATCATCAATACCAGACATTTCAGTTGGCTGTAAAATAAAAGTAAATAGATAAAAACAATAATTTTATTTTATTTATTTTATTACATACCTTGTTTTATGTTAATTACAAATGATTAGAAGCTATACCTTAAAATTTTGAATGCATTCTAGTAACATTAATTCGTCATTATTTTTAGTTATATGACACAAGCGATTCAAATTTTGTCGGCATTTAATATTCATAGACTTTAATAAATTGTCTTCAGTCAAATCAATTTTGGCTCTTTTAACTCTAATGGAATTATCAATAGAATTGCTGAATAACCAACTAATTTTTGGCATATTTTCACCATTATTTACATATTCATCTTTAAAATAAGTTTTTGTCAATTGAGTACAATTTAGCATCGATATATGTAAAAAAATTACAAACAAAATGTTTGTTATATTTATTTCCATCCTTATGAAGTAGATTCACTTTTTCAATTAAAATTTATTTTTGATGAAATACATTACATTACTTTTACGTTTTTATAAAAACTCTTCGTGTTTTTTTCTTTATTTTTTTAATTGTTATTATGTTATATCAACGTCACGAATAATAGTATACTCGTAACACCAAACTTTGAGCAGACAGATAATATCTATGTAATACCTATTATCTATAGTTCTAACAATTTGATTTTCAAATAAGCTTAAAAGATAGAAATTGAAAAGCAAAATTGATTTATTATACAATAATTAAATTATACATTTAATATTTTGTATATTGTAATTTACAAAAAAAAAAATATTTTAATAATTTAAATAATTTTTAATATAGATCATCTTGAATTTTAATGTTCTATAAAATATTTATAGTTTCCAATTATAAAAGATATAAAAGTAATTTTTAAAAATATAATAAAATAATATTAATTTAAGCTTAAATCATCATTATATACACGAACATATACTCTGATAAATAAGAATTATTGTTTTGCAATATTTGTTATTTATATCTTCTAGTGAAAATGCTCCTTATTGCGAGTAATATTACACAATGTTGGCAAACCTGATAATTGAGTATGTATTTCTATCTCGTCGTCTGCATTAAAGGGCAAGTGACAGTTCGAGCTTTATTGTTGACATTCCTATGAAAATTATATTAGTGTGTAGTATTTAAAATTAAAAATGTAATTTTGAATATAATTAATATTGAAATACAAGTGAACTGCTTTTCTTTGATAATAAGAACCATTAAACGATTTTAAAATTATGTATTCATAAGAAGAAAACTTAACTATTAAATAATAATTGGTGTTTGAGAAAGTATTAATTATATAGAATTAATAAATTTAAAATATTTAGCGCAATTAAATGCAAGTTTAATTTAGTATTTATAAATTTTTCAATTATTTCATATTGATTATTATCATTTAATAGCTCTAACAATGACTGATTATTGGAAAACTTCGAGGCATCGCCGTAAACGTTGTTCTCAGTAGTGTGTTCTCGATAGTGAATATAAAGTGAATATAAAGTGCATGTGTAAAAGTGAATCAATCCGTATGGTATTACAGCGTCACTTTCTAAAAAAAATTAATAATTTCCTTGATTGGTAATAATTTTATTACAAAAATTATTATTATATTTTAAAAATTTATATAAATATAAATAAGTTTTAATTTAATCTTATAAAAAATTATAAAAACTTATTTATTTTATATTTCAATAATTATTTTTCTAAACAATGACTTAATTTCGTTTTACAAATTTTTTTTAATAATTTTCATTTTATTCGATATATTAAAGACATAACATTTATTAAACACATATTAATATTACTCAACAAATATAATTTAATTCAAATGAGTTATAAATAATATATATCTTATTTATTGAATAAAAAAAATTATTGTGTAAAACAATATATCGTTTATATTATTTAACAATCAAAAATAACATGCAGAAAATTCGCAATGCATTAAAATTGATATACGACATAATACGATATAATGTATAATATTTTGAACAGTGATAAAAAATATTTTGTTATATATACCACGCTTAATCTATGCTTTGAATGTATTTTGTATTTCTACATATCATATTGACTTCTTTTTTGGCTAACATATTAAAAAAAATATATTGTTCTAATTTCATAATTTTATATGTAAAGTAATGGAGTACAACTATCTCGTGTCCATCTCTGACATTTATCTATAACGTTATCATTAATTATCTATTATAGTTTTATATTTAATTTCATGTATTTTTTTTATGAAATATTTTAAAATTTAATAATTGTTTTGAGTTAATATTTATTAATTATAATAGTTCATCTGATTATATCAATATATCATAATCATTATCTAATCTTTTTGGCTTTACCTTGAAGATTCGAGGTCCAATGAGTGAGGAAATCGATCAGTGGTTCCTGTTGTATATTGTAACGAAAATAAAGTAATCGATTCGAATCGGTAAAATTGTGGCTGAAGTGATAAAACGGACAAAGAGAAAGACGATTTCGGCATGATCTGTGGAGGTAACAAAATCTCGTTAGAAATATTGGGCGGGGAGGAGGAGGCATGGAAGCTGAAGCTGGTCGGCAATCTCACCATCAGAGGCTGCAGCTTACCCTGTCATCCCCGGGAATCCCCGGACTGGACGTCGTAAGAGCATTGCATCAGGTTTGAATCAACGAATTTAATTAATTCTTCCAATTTTATTACCATTCATGACATATATGATATAAAATATCATTATAGTTATTTTTTTACATTAAATTTTTATTTATTTTATATTATATTTTCTTATTTGGTCTAAAATAATTTTAAACATTATTAAATTAAAAAATATAAAAACTCAGTTTTCTTACATTAGAACATTAGAACATTTTTTATATTATTTAGATAATAGAGTTTAAGTTTAAAAAACCAATTTTAATATTTTTTTTTTCCTAAAAATCATCGATTAATCCGAGACATCCATGACATTAAATTTAATTTTTTTTTTCTTTGATTTTTTTTCCAATTAATCTTTTAACATTTGTTGATGATATATATATCATGAATATATATCTCTACATTAATACACTTCTTCCTTTATATTATTTTAGATTGAATTATATTTTTTGGATTTAATTCTGTATTAAATTTTCATTATTCTTTCTATCTGATTCCTGTTATATAAATAGTTATAAATATTTTATTTTCCATTGTACGAAGTTGAGAATTTTTGATAATTTATTCGTGCAATTTCACAATAAATTAGAAAGTAATCAATTGATTGCTGATTTTTACAATAGCATAATAGCAATAATAGCG